CACACCATTTAGCACTCATTTCCTTGACAAGTGCAATGGGCACATCATTCCTTCCCCTCCTCTTGTTCTGATGACAGCTCCTCTGTTGCAATCTGTTGCTGCTCCTTCTGAAGCAGCAATAAGTTCTTCTGTGGTGAGTTCAGTTCTATGCTCCTCCACTAACTCCTCCACATCATCTTCAGTCACCTCTAGGCACAAGGTCTTTCCCAGGGACACACTATCCTCTACTGGCTCAGGCTCATCTTCAAAGCCTTCAAAATCCCTGGCTGCTACAAAGGTCAGGCCACAACTTCTTCCATGCTGACTGCATGGCCCTGGAAGACACATTTTTTCCCAGGCTTTGTCTATATAAGCCTCAAGCAGGTGAGGATTTTGAAATGGTCCTTCCAGAACTCCCAAGGGTTAAATTTATTTCTTAAGTGATTTCAAAGCACCTTTCAAAATGTGCTTTAGTGTAGAGTTTTTTGAAGTTAGAAAAGACCTTCTGGTCCATGGGCTGGATGAAAGGAGTGGTGTTTTGGAGGCAAGAACTTCACAATTATAAAATTGAACTCCTCTAGCAGCTCGTTTTCCAAGCCTGGAGGGTGAGTAGGAGCATTATCCATAAGTAAAAGGGACCTAAGTGACAATTGTTTTGTAGTGAGGTATTGTTGACAGTGGGAGCTAAGACCTCATGATCCTGCTCAATAAAAAATAGTCTCGTTACCAAAGCTTTCGAGTTGGCCCTCCACATTACAGCCAATTTGTTTTTCATAACATGTTCTTCTTAAAAACTTGTGGATTTTTGGAAAGATAAACAAGTAAGTGTTTCAATTTCAAGTCCCCACTTGCATTACCACATAGTAACAGTGTGAGCCTGTCCTTCATTGGTTTGTGTCCTAGCACTGACTTTACCTCTTCAGTTATGTAGGCCCTCTTGGGCATTTTCTTCCAGAAGAGGCCAGTCACATCACAAATTAAACACTTAATGGGGGACAAACCCCCCCCCCAGCCTCTATGTACTTTTGGAATTCAGTAACATACTTTTCAACAGACACTTTGTCAGTACTGGCAGCCTCCCCATACCTACCCACACTATGAATGTCACTTCTTTTCTTAAGATTATCAAACCAACTATTACTAGCCTTGAAAGATTGAGTTGTAAGCACTAGTTTTGGGGAATTTTTCAGGTTATCATGCAACTACCTCATTTTTTCACAAATAATGGCCTCTGAAACACTCACCGAGTAACTGGTTTTTGTTTATCCACATCAACAAGAGTTTTTCAACATCCTCAGTAATTTGTGGCCTTTGCTTTGATATCACATTTGTGCCTTTTGCAAGGTCAGCTGCTTTAATTTTTTCCCTTTGGCCCAGGATCATGCTAATGGTAGACTTTGATCTACCAAAAAGTTTTGCTATATCAAACACACACAACCTATCTTCTCATACTCTCTAATGACTTCTTTTTAAAACTCAACAGTGTTTTTTACAACCTTTCTTTTTGTTTTCATCTCTTTATCCTTCCTTGGACCCATAATGGCTTATCTCACAATAAAAAAAAATTGCACCAAAACTGCAAAACAACAAAAGTTCACAATATGCACAACAAAAGCTTAAGAGAAGTTTACAGCACGCGAGTTAGTAAGCACATGACCCAAGCTGTTCATGTTGTTGGTCAACAACCAAGAGAATGTATGAAAACCAGGACACTTTCTTCTCAAATACCTCATTCAACTGCATTATTTGTTTTCTTGAATCCCTTATTCGACTGTATTACTTGTCGAACAAATCGACAAGTAATGCAGTCGACAACCAAGGTTTCACTGTATAGTGGTTATAACACACTTATATAGGTGTGAAGCAGGGGTTCTGAATGTTGTAGTGAGGAAGAGGTTGGAGGTAGTGGAGGTATCATGAATGAGGCAATGTGTCGTGTAAATTTTATGCAGAAAATTCGTAGCCTAGAAAGAAGGAGGAGGGGTGACACTACTAAAAATATTATCCAGAGGGCTAAGGAGGGGTTGCTGAGGTGGTTTGGATATTTAGAAGATGGAACAAAATAGGATGACTTGGATGGCGTTGTGGAAAGAAGGCAGGGTAGGAGTCACCCTAATAATAATAATAATAATGTTTATTTCTCTAAGTCATACAAATAATGTAGTTTCAATGAATTAATAAAATGGTAGGCACAAAAGATAGCCATTAATTATGCATTGCATTTCAGAGGAGGTAAAGGAGGTTTTGTGTGTGAGGGGCTTGGATATCCAACAGGCATGTGTGAATGTGTTAGATAGGAGTGAGTGAAGGCAAATGGTTTTTGGGACTTGATGAATGTTGGAGTGTGAGCAAGACATCACTTGTGAAGGATTCTGGAAAACTGGTTAGTTATACTTGAGTCCTAAAGGTGGAAAGTACAGTGCATGCACTCTGAAGGAGGGGTGGAGGGATATCTGCAGTTTGGAGGGGCATCTGAAGTGCAGTATTGACATGTCTCTGGCAAAATAGTGATAGAGTGAATGAATGACGGTATGTTTCTCTCCCTACAGCTAGTGTGATAAAAATATATATGTATATACTATGGCATGTGCGAGCACGTTAGATAGGAGTTAATGGAGACGAATGGTTTTTGGGACCTGATGAGCTGTTGGTGTGTGAGCAGGATAATATTTTGTGAAGGGATCAGGGAAACAGGTTAGCTGGACTTGAGTCCTGGAGGTGAGAATACAATGCCTGTACTTTAAAGGAGGGGTTTGGGATACTGGCTGTTTGGAGTGACATCTAAAATGTCATATCTGAGTGCCTCTGCAAAGACAGTGATTATGTGTGAATGATGGTGAACGTGTTTCTTTCTTTTATGGGTCACCATGCCTCGGTGGGAGATGGCCAACGTGTTGAAAAAAATCTGCCTTAAATTATTTTATTCAGATAAGAAAATGTTTACATTCAGAATACATTATTACATAGTTAAGTAACTTTACTCTCTTCATTACCTGTCCATAGAGCCAGTCTGGGCCTTGCTCTCCTACCAGAGACCACAAGATATTCATGCTCTCATCATTTCGTGATGATATCTTTAGCTGAGCACCATCATCCCCACTCAGTGAAAAGAAAAATTTGAAGCAGAAACCATACTCTTCATTTGGGATGCGGGAACTGACCAAGGCAGTGGTGGCTCCACTGTGCACATCAAAATCTTCCACAATCACATAACCACCTATTGGGACAGGAAGAAATAACACTCTACATAAAATTTATAATTGTGAGGAGATGACAAATTTTTATATCACAAAATAATTTGTTCAAGGATTTACTGAATATAATAAATTATATCCCATCTACCTTTTACTCTCAGTGTAGCTACAACTAGAAAGTGATCTGATATATCTGTGGCCCCTCTATAAACATGTACATCCTGAAGTCTACTCAACAGTCTTTTATCTACCAATACATAATCCAACAATGGGATACAAGGAGAATAGAAGCATCAGGGAAGAGAGAGGTGAAGGTTTATAAACTAAGAGAGGAGGCAGTTAGGGAAAGATATAAACAGCTATTGGAGGATAGATGGGCTAATGAGAGCATAGGCAATGGGGTCAAAGAGGTATGGGGTAGGTTTAAAAATGTAGTGTTAGAGTGTTCAGCAGAAGTTTGTGGTTACAGGAAAGTGGGTGCGGGAGGGAAGAGGAGCGATTGGTGGAATGATGATGTAAAGAGAGTAGTAAGGGAGAAAAAGTTAGCATATGAGAAGTTTTTACAAAGTAGAAGTGATGCAAGGAGGGAAGAGTATATGGAGAAAAAGAGAGAGGTTAAGAGAGTGGTGAAGCAATGTAAAAAGAGAGCAAATGAGAGAGTGGGTGAGATGTTATCAACAAATTTTGTTGAAAATAAGAAAAAGTTTTGGAGTGAGATTAACAAGTTAAGCAAGCCTAGAGAACAAATGGATTTGTCAGTTAAAAATAGGAGAGGAGAGTTATTAAATGGAGAGTTAGAGGTATTGGGAAGATGGAGGGAATATTTTGAGGAATTGTTAAATGTTGATGAAGATAGGGAAGCTGTGATTTCGTGTATAGGGCAAGGAGGAATAACATCTTGTAGGAGTGAGGAAGAGCCAGTTGTGAGTGTGGGGGAAGTTCGTGAGGCAGTAGGTAAAATGAAAGGGGGTAAGGCAGCCAGGATTGATGGGATAAAGATAGAAATGTTAAAAGCAGGTGGGGATATAGTTTTGGAGTGGTTGGTGCAATTATTTAATAAATGTATGGAAGAGGGTAAGGTACCTAGGGATTGGCAGAGAGCATGCATAGTTCCTTTGTATAAAGGCAAAGGGGACAAAAGAGAGTGCAAAAATTATAGGGGGATAAGTCTGTTGAGTATACCTGGTAAAGTGTATGGTAGAGTTATTATTGAAAGAATTAAAAGTAAGACTGAGAATAGGATAGCAAATGAACAAGGAGGCTTTAGGAAAGGTAGGGGGTGTGTGGACCAGGTGTTTACAGTGAAACATATAAGTGAACAGTATTTAGATAAGGCTAAAAAGGTCTTTGTGGCATTTATGGATTTGGAAAAGGCGTATGACAGGGTGGATAGGGGGGCAATGTGGCAGATGTTGCAGGTGTATGGTGTAGGAGGTAGGTTACTGAAAGCAGTGAAGAGTTTTTACGAGGATAGTGAGGCTCAAGTTAGAGTACATAGGAAAGAGGGAAATTATTTCCCAGTAAAAGTAGGCCTTAGACAAGGATGTGTGATGTCACCGTGGTTGTTTAATATATTTATAGATGGGGTTGTAAGAGAAGTAAATGCGAGGGTCTTGACAAGAGGCGTGGAGTTAAAAGATAAAGAATCACACATAAAGTGGGAGTTGTCACAGTTGCTCTTTGCTGATGACACTGTGCTCTTAGGAGATTCTGAAGAGAAGTTGCAGAGATTGGTGGATGAATTTGGTAGGGTGTGCAAAAGAAGAAAATTAAAAGTGAATACAGGAAAGAGTAAGGTTATGAGGATAACAAAAATATTAGGTGATGAAAGATTGGATATCAGATTGGAGGGAGAGAGTATGGAGGAAGTGAATGTATTCAGATATTTGGGAGTGGATGTGTCAGCGGATGGGTCTATGAAGGATGAGGTGAATCATAGAATTGATGAGGGGAAAAGGGTGAGTGGTGCACTTAGGAGTCTGTGGAGACAAAGAACTTTGTCCTTGGAGGCAAAGAGGGGAATGTATGAGAGTATTGTTTTACCAACACTCTTATATGGGTGTGAAGCATGGGTGATGAATGTTGCAGTGAGGAGAAGGCTGGAGGCAGTGGAGATGTCATGTCTGAGGGCAATGTGTGGTGTGAATATAATGCAGAGAATTCGTAGTTTGGAAGTTAGGAGGAGGTGCAGGATTACCAAAACTGTTGTCCAGAGGGCTGAGGAAGGGTTGTTGAGGTGGTTCAGACATGTAGAGAGAATGGAGTGAAACAGAATGACTTCAAGAGTGTATCAGTCTGTAGTGGAAGGAAGGCGGGGTAGGGGTCGGCCTAGGAAAGGTTGGAGGGAGGAGGTAAAGGAGGTTTTGTGTGCGAGGGGCTTGGACTTCCAGCAGGCGTGCGTGAGCGTGTTTGATAGGAGTGAATGGAGACAAATGGTTTTTAATACTTGACGTGCTGTTGGAGTGTGAGCAAAGTAACATTTATGAAGGGGTTCAGGGAAACCGGCAGGCCGGACTTGAGTCCTGGAGATGGGAAGTACAGTGCCTGCACTCTGAAGGAGGGGTGTTAATGTTGCAGTTTAAAAACTGTAGTGTAAAGCACCCTTCTGGCAAGACAGTGATGGAGTGAATGACGTTGAAAGTTTTTCTTTTTCGGGCCACCCTGCCTTGGTGGGAATCGGCCAGTGATAATAAAAAAAAAAAAAAAAAAAATTATATATTAAATTAAATAACAAAATAAAATAACTAACATAATGCCTATTAGTATTCAACAATTTTGCTGTGAAATGAAAGATCTGTCCAAAGGCCACATGATAAAGAATAGTAAGAACATAGCTAGTGTTGAAAAGCTGATTATTAGTTTGGTGTTAACTAAAGCTGCACAGTCCTAATACATTCACTCTATTGAATATTGACACATTCATATATTGTGTGTTTGTTCCTAGTTATTTTTTTTTAACAAATCTGCCATTTCTATCCCAGACAGGATGCCCTAAGGAACAAAATGCACTACCACTCATTCCATAGCTTTTTTTTTTTTTTAAGAAGAATATGGATATCATAATCCAAATTATCTCTGAACTATAGCATCTCCACCACTATAGCATCTCCACCCATCTACCAAAATCCAACTCCATCTCCAGAACTCAACTCCAGCCAACCTGTTTCTCTGAATCTCTACTCACAATCCAACATCACACAAAGACTCAAAAATACACTTTTCTCCACTCTAACCTAACACACTCACAAATGCCTGCTAAATGTTGAAGCCTCCAACTGCTCAAGACCCCTTTCACATCTTTTAATTTTTCCCTGGTGGTCAACCACATTCCTCTACATCCATCCCCCAATTTATACTCCCTCTTGGATAAACCTTCCTAGCATCATCCTTGCACTCTCAGAAATATACCTGTCAAACCACTTCACCTTAATATTCAGAACACACACTAATCTCAAACAAGATATTTCCTTTTCTTCCAGTCTCCTCCTCACTTCAGCATTCATATATCATGTTTCATAACCCTGCAAGAATTACCTTTTACCAAACCTCTTTCTACACAATTCATTTAAAGGGGACTCACTTATTTACTCCTGACACTCCAAAATTTCCTATTATGCACTATACAACAGTCAATCAGTACTTCCCAAAATTTCTCTCCTTTATACTCCCCCTTCCCTCTCATCTTTTGGCAGAGACACCTTTTAACTTCCCTCTTCACATCATACTTCTATTGTAAGCTATACATGAATATTGAATTAAATATTTATACACCTTTTTTTTTTACAGAATTTTGTTTCTAGCATTACCTCTACTTCTTCTTAAATCTTAAGCTTTCAAACTCGCAGATTTTCTATAATATAAGAATAACAAAAAGTTTGTACTGAAAGACTGGATAACAGACTGGAGGGAGGGAGCATGGAGGAAGAAGAGAAAGTATTTAAATATAGTGTATATTTGCAAGTGGGTGTGAGAGCAAAGAGGTTTACGAATAACAACATTTTTACTAGGGTGTGAGGCATGGTCTTCAAAAATTGCAGCGAGAAGGAGGCTGGATGCACTGGAGATGTTACATTTGAGAGCAGTGTGTGGTAAAGTAAAGTAAAGTAGTAAAGTTTATTTTTTTGTAAAGGTTATAATGTGCAATTACAATTTTGATTTATAAATAACAAAAAGGCACAATACCGTGACTGGAACGATACTCAAATAACCCGCGCATCAATTTTGATTTGCTAAGTACAAAGACAGCCACAATCGTGCTGAGGCATTTTGAGCAAACTAATCCTAATACTACATGGTAACTAATTAAAACTAGATATGATAACAGTACATAGTAACTATACTTAAAACTAGACAAGAAGTAGTGGTTAACTGTTTTACAATCTTATTTACACTTAATACAAGTGAGAGGTACTAAGGTGGGGTAGGGTTTGGTAAAATAATCTTGAAATTTCACACAAAATCTACCTTACAAGTAATGGTGCAGGTGGTAATATTTTATGGAATGGCAGAATTAAAAGCCAGGAGGTCACATGATAAGACTAATTAGCAGTTGTTTTGGCATATTTGGTTAATACTGAGAAACAAGATGATTTTATGGATTGGTAGAATTAAGATCCTAGAGGTCACATAAAACTAGTTAGCAGATGTTTGGTTGATTTGGTTAATATTGTGAGATAAGATGATTTTTAAAAGAAGCAAATGCTAGGGTGTTCGGGAGAGGGGTGGGATTAAATTATGGGAAATCAAATACAAAATGGGAATTGACACAGTTACTTTTTGCTGATGATACTGTGCTTATGGGAGATTCTAAAGAAAAATTGCAAAGGTTAGTGGATGAGTTTGGGTGTGTGTGTAAAGGTAGAAAGTTGAAAGTGAACATAGAAAAGAGTAAGGTGATGAGGGTATCAAATGATTTAGATAAAGAAAAATTGGATATCAAATTGGGGAGGAGGAGTATGGAAGAAGTGAATGTTTTCAGATACTTGGGAGTTGAAGTGTCGGCGGATGGATTTATGAAGGATGAGGTTAATCATAGAATTGATGAAGGAAAAAAGGTGAGTGGTGCATTGAGGTATATGTGGAATCAAAAAAAAGTTATCTATGGAGACAAAGAAGGGAATGTATGAAAGTATAGTAGTACCAACACTCTTATATGGGTGTGAAGCTTGGGTTGTGAATGCAGCAGCGAGGAGGTGGTTGGAGGCAGTGGAGACGTCCTGTCTAAGGGCAATGTGTGGTGTAAATATTATGCAGAAAATTCGGAGTGTGGAAATTAGGAGAAGGTGTGGAGTTAATAAAAGTATTAGTCAGAGGGCTGAAGAGGGGTTGTTGAGGTGGTTTAGTCATTTAGAGAGAATGGATCAAAGTAGAATGACACGTAGAGCATTTAAATCTGTAGGAAAAGGAAGGTGGGGTAGGGGTCGTCCTCAAAAAGGTTGGAAGGGAGGGGTAAGGGAGGTTTTGTGGGAGAGGGGCTTGGACTTCCAGCAGGCGTGCATGAGCATGTTCGATAGGAGTGAATAGAGACGAATGGTATTTGGGACCTGACGATCTGTTGGAGTGTGAGCAGGGTAATATTTAGTGAAGGGGTTCAGGGAAACCGGTTATTTTTATATAGCCGGACTTGAGTCCTGGAAATGGGAAGTACAATGCCTGCACTCTAAAGGAGGGGTTTTGGGATATTAGCAGTTTGGAGGGATATGTTGTGTATCTTTATACGTATATGCTTCTAAACTGTTGTGTTCTGAGCACCTCTGCAAAAACAGTGATGATGTGTGAGTGAGGTGAAAGTGTTGAATGATGATTAAAGTATTTTCTTTTTGGGGATTTTCTTTCTTTTTGGGTCACCCTGCCTCGGTGGGAGACGGCTGACTTGTTGAAAAAAAAAAAAAGATGATTTTTTAGCAAAGTCCTAAATTTATAAGCTGTCAGGGGATCCTTGACCTGTTCCAGTAGCGAGTTCCAGATCTTCGCGCGTTTTATGTGCATAGCGTTCTTGCATAGTGAGAGTCTGACTCAAGGGATATTGAAAAGTGCTTTATGCCTTGTATTGTGCCTGTGCATTCTGTTGTAACTGTAAAGTAGTTTTAGGGGAGGGTTTAAAGTGGAGTTTAAATTTCTGTATATGTAGTAGGCACAATAATAAGAGTGTCTTGTATATTTAGCAAGTTGAGCCTTTTGAAAAGTGGTGGGGTGTGCTGTCTAGCACAAGAGCTGGTTATCACCCACACAGCAGCTTTTTGTTGGATTATTAAGGGTCTAAGGTGGTTGGCTGTGGTTGAGCCCCAGGCACAAATACCATAGGTGAGGTAAGGATATATTAGAGAGTGGTACAGGGTAAGGAGAGCCGTTTGTGGTACATAGTATCATATCTTGGAAAGGATTCCTACTGATTTGGAAATTTTCTTGGCTATGTGATGGGTATGGGACTGAAATTTAAGATTACAGTCAAGGAGAAGACCTAGAAATTTGCCCTCCACATGTCTTGATATAGGGGAACCATTTAACAGTATGTTAAGTTGGATATTTGAGGCTCTGTTACCAAACAGCATGAAGTATGCTTTGTCTATGTTGAGAGTGAGTTTGTAGGTTACCATCCAAGCATATATCTTTAGCAGTTCATTGTTTACAGTGTTTCCAAACACAGCTGGGTCTGAATGGGGGTAGACGTATGTAGCGTCATTTGCGAATAGAACTGGTTTAATGAGCTGGGATGCATTGGCGAGATCATTGATATAGATGAGAAAGAGGAGTGGGCCTAGGACACTACCTTGGGGTACTCCTACAGTTACAGGTTGGATAGCAGAGTTGCCTCCATTTGCATGTACATACTGGGGTCTGTCGTTAAGCTAGGATTTTAGGTAGTCAAGAGAATGTCCTCTGATGCCGTAATGATTCAGTTTGAGGTGCAAGAGATTGTGGTCGACTGTGTCAAATGCTTTTCGTAGGTCAATATAGAGCCCCAGAGGATATTCATTTTTATCAAGAGCTGTGTATATTAGTTCAAGCATTTGCATAATAGCATCATTCATACTTTTTTTTGGTCAAAACCCAAACTGGCATGGATTAAGTATGTTGCTGGATGTAATGTAGGAGTAGAGTCGCTTGTGTAATATTTTTTCAAATATCTTGGAAAGTAAGGGCAAGTTTGATATGGGTCTGTAGTTGTTCAAATCAGTTGGATCTCCTCCTTTGTGGATTGGGATGACCCTTACTGTCTTAAGTATAGATGGGAAGATTGAGGATGCTATAGATTTGTTAAATTTGTTGCAATAATGGGTGACAGTTCTGGTGCAACTTTTTTATATATGAATGGTGGCAAGTTATCTAGATCACCTGCTTTGTTCTTTAATGATTTAATGACGAGTGAGACTTCAGTGGGAATAGTTGGAGCTAGAAATAGAGTATTTGGATAGTTGCCAGTGAGGTACTAGCTCAGCTGAGTATTTGAGCTAGGAATATGACTGTTAGCTTTGATCCTACAGTAGAGAAGACATTAAATTTGTTGGCTGTGTCTATAGGTTGTATGTGAGGTTCATCTGGTTTAGTTAAGTTTATCTCTCTATTTTCAGACGGTTTCCTTGAGCCCAAAATTTTGGAGAGTGTTTGCCAGGTACTTTTCATATCACCTTTCATTTCACTAAATCTATTTTCATAATACATTTGCTTTGATTTATGTATTAGTTTTGTGAGTACTGATGTGTATCTTATAGTAAATTCTTTAGTAATTAAGCCTCATCTGAACTGTTTTTCAATTTACTGTTTTTTATTAATAGATTTGAGGATAATTTTTGTTAGCCATGGACTGTTTAGTCTCTTTTCTGTGATCTGTTTTGTTTTGATTAGACAATGTTTGTTATAGAGGTTTAGGGTTTTATGCCAAAAAATTTTGATATCTTTATTGATATTATTACTGTCATCTAGCTCTCTCTGCCAATCAATGGCACCCAGTGCTAGTTCTAGGTTGTTTATAGATGTCTCAGGATGGAAGGAAGGAGGATTAGGGGTCATCCAAGGAAAAATTAAGGAAGAGGGTAGAAGCCTGAACACCCAGTAGGCATGTGTGTGAACATGTTAGATCAGAACAAGTGGAAACTAAGTGAATTTTAAGGTATGTCATGTTATTGATTTGTGGGCAAGGAACATTTATAAAGAGAACAAGGAAAGCCTGTTAACCAGACTTGAATCTTGGAGGTGGTAATTACACTGCCTACACTCTGAAGGGAGGATGGGGGAGCAAGACAGTTATTGAATGAATGACTGTAAATGTTTCCTTTCCTTGGGACTGCCCTACCCTGGGGGGATACAGTCAGTGTGTTAAAGAAGAAATGAAGCTTCATGAAAGTAGCTGTTACTTATTATTTTGTTTAAAACAATATTTGAATTGAACTGATATAGAACTATAGTACATAGTGTAACTGCAGCACTTGTACAAAAGGAACATTACAACTGACCTGAAGAAGTATTAGTAGTGTGGTCAACATGAGGGCCATTGCCATGGCTTTCCCTACCATCTGTTAGCTGCCAAGCAACTTCCTCATTCGAATCCACATGCCATAAACACATATGAGCATCTTCAAATGTGCATGATCCTGGCTGTGGAACAATTTTCACCATGTTAAATACTACATGAAGCACTTCCATATACAAAGTCAGTAGTTTGAAATAGTATGCAGTACATGCCTGTGAACATACGTAAGTCAAGTTTCGAGGGTTCATCTACCCTCACAGCCCAGCCTCTTGCCAAGCTTCCTTGATAACTCTTTTGTTAAATAGGCTGTTGCTCCTAGCAGCCAGCAGGCCCTTAAAACCATCAAAATTTGACTGTAAAGCAAAAGGACACAAGTGCAACTAATGTGACATTTTATTGTGGCAACGTTTCGCTCTCCAGGAGCTTTGTCAAGCCGGCTTGACAAAGCTCCTGAAGAGCGAAACGTTGCCACAATAAAATGTCACATTAGTTGCACTTGTGTCCTTTTACTTTACATATTGTCGATAATTCTACCAACATTATTACAAAATTTGACTGACTTAGCACTTTTAACCCTTTGACTGTCGCAGGCCCCTTTCTGAAACTGTCATTCTATGTCGATAAATTTTTGAAAAAAAAAAAAAAAAAAATTATTTTTCTTATGAAATGATAGAGAATCTTTTCCCGATGGTAATGACACCAAAAGTTCAAAATTTGGTCAAAAACTCACGGAATTACACTCCCGCGAAGTTAGCGGTCTCGGCGAAGTATGTGTATTGGCGATTTCGCTGACTTTGAGCCCTGTTTTCAGCCAATTCCGTTGTTCCAGTTGACCAAACTCATAGCTATTTCTTTAGAACTCTATTTTATCTATCAGCTGAGTACAAGAAACCTCCCATTTACCAATTTGAACTACCCAATATAGTGGTCAGAAATTGGCAATTTGGCCAAGTTCATGCAAATTAAAAAAGATGCCAAATTCAAAATAGGGTCCAGTAATAAACAAGGTAGACATTCTTGGCACTAAAATAACATATCCTCTGTTCATTAGTCACATCTCTAGGCCCCTCTTATATTATTATTGCTTACTATTTTTATTTTTTATTCATACAAAAAAATACAAAATTTACTGTTATGCAGACTACTGCATTATTGTAAAAATGGTATAAATAATATTAGTGCACTAGTGAAAGAATATTAGACTCCCCAGTTGACGTGTATTGGACGTGTGGTGTGATTTGTTTACTCCTGAACACTGGTAAAAATCGAACATTTCTGCTAGTCTGAGCTCAGTTTCAAGGTCGTTTTCATCGTCAAAGTAATGAAAATCATCTCTATTTCTGTAATATGTTTTCCATTTTATCACCTAAGACCATGAAAATGCGAATACAACGATAAATACTATATGAAAATACACCTGAAAGTCGGCGTTTTAATCCAAAAAACGATCAGAGTTTTTTTTTCTCATTACGTACTGTGTGCTGCAGGATTTTTTTATATGGTGCACAATGACCACACAGACCCATTCTCTCACATGTGGGCCTACCAGCTTTCTCCCGCTTGATTTGAAGCCGCTAGAATTATTGGGTATATATGTGTCAGAAACAGTGGCGCGTAAGACGTATTTATACGGTGTAAACAGTCAAAGGGTTAAAAGCAGCACATCTTGAAAACCTCTTAATGTATTCTGGCAATAATTCTGATATCTGCTAGCAGTAGGCTGAATAATCATGAACCACTGAAGCTGATAATGTTCTCATTGTGTCTTTGGTACCTATCCTATTCACCGTTTATTCTACACTTTCTCCCATACGTATTTCTTCCTCCAGCAAGTTATTATGGTAGAATGCAGATGAGGACCTGACCCTGCAGTATTTTTTATATATACGTACATATATTATCAGGAATCTTTCTCTTCTAAATTCCAGAGAGTACAAAAAAAAAAAAAAAAAAAAAAAAAAAAAAAAAAAAAAAAAAAAAAAAAAAAAAAAAAAAAAAAAAAAAAAACAATTGCAACCTGTATAATTACTACCAATTCAGAGTCATGTACTTATATATCTGTTATATCTATGTGACTCTGATGGGTTAGTCTTATACCCCTTAAATAAATATATTATCATTTTACGTACACTTTTTAAATTGCACCAAAGTGGTTGGGCCACTTACCTTTATATCCTACCTCTCACCCCCCTCCCACCCTTTTCCAATATTTCCATCCTTACCCATCCTTCTTCCTTCCCCATCTCACCAAAGCTCTGGTCTGAACAATCAAACAATCAAACATTCCATGTCTTTTGAGCCACTGCAGAGGCTTAGATGTTTTACTGATTCTACATGGGCAAAAAATGACTTCTACACATTTTCCAGCTCTGGTATCTCTCCTGCCTTTAAAGGTGATGTAAGTGCTAGACAATACTCTAGATGTGAGAGCACAAGTGATTTAAACAGTACCACCATTGAGTGGCTTCAATAGTTCTGATGGTTCCCAATATCCACTAAGTAATTTAATGGATAATGAGAACTTAGTCTAAGTTTCGTTCATAACACAATAGTGTAGTCATTCCACTCTAGCAACCATGACGAATTCCAAAAAAAATGGCACTGAACAAAATCTAAAGTAAGCGATGTTTGATTGCCCACAGCAATCAAACATTGCAATTTTGCTGGAATTATCAGATAGGTACCATTGGACTGTACACACTTAGTAAACATCAAACAATAAATACATCACTTATTATCAAAAAATTTTCCTGCTGTTGTTTTGGCCAAAAAAAATTGTTTTGTACATGACAGTTTGATGCATGCAGGGTATACTCATTGTCTTAGGTAAAAGAATGTCAAGAGGTAATTATTTTTAGATTCATAAAGTAGATTACATAATGTACAGTACTAAAAATACATTTGTCCCAACTTTTTTACAGAATACGTACATTTATTTACTCTGTATATGACCACTTGGTATATGTGTGACAGGCTCATATTTTCTTGGTAAAATTCATTCAATGGATCTTTACAAAATAAATTTCAGAAATTTAATAACTGTTTTACTTCCTAAGTGACCCTACCTGTGGACAGGCTGTGCTGGTTAAGGAGTAGTCATCTATTGCTACCACTGATCTTCCAGTTTCTGATGATGATGCCCCAACTTCTCCACTTACAACAAAACCAACAGTAGCCTGGTCTTCATAATTACTGTAGGTCTGCTGTAGGAGTGTCCAGAGCAAGGTGCCATCTATATCATTCAACTCCACAACTGGTGTAATATCACCAGCAAACTCAACCTAAAACACAAAATAAATATTTTAAAAATTAAGCATCCAGTGTGTAAGTACAGGCAACTCCGATCAATATGTCCCCTTTAACCCTTTCAGGGTCGGTCCCGTTGTATCACAGCTTTGAAGCCAGTGTCGGTCTTGTAGTACAGCACCATGAGCACAGCTTACTCAAATAAGGTGTGAGCAATAAATCTGGGCTTAAATATGAGAGAATGGGTTTATGTAGTAAGTGTGCACCATATAATAATGCAATTTTTTTTTTAATTTTGTGACCCTGAGAGCAGGTTTAAAAGCAGGGGTCATGACCATGAAAGGGTTAATTGTTACCCCACTGTACCGAGGGCAATGAATTACTGGTAGCCATGTGTTTGAGGTTCTTTTTTACTTTCAATTTTAATCAGCTTAATTTAAATACCTGAGGCGTGTAAATTATAAAAGAGGAATTTGGTGCACTGAAAACCCTAGTTAGAAAAACCAGTACAAGAGGATGCAGCTAGATGGCTACAGGAATTACTGAAATTCACATGACTAATTTAAACACATTACACAAGCACAAAAAAACAAAGATGAATAGCAGGAGCTTCTTTGAGAAACATGTCTGTGTTAGGAAGAAAGACTAAAGAATAATAATGTGAACAGCAAAGGAGTGCAATAACCTCTGAAACACATGACAAAGTGTGTTACAGTAGTGTTTAGCATTGCCATCTCTAACAAATGTATGATGAGTGAGTAGTTAAGATACTGTTAACAAGTATGAACACTAGAGGAGAGTGAATCTAAGAAGATGTAAAGCCAATAAAGTAATAGTAGTAAGAGTAATACATGTACTTTAATTCAGCATGATACAATGTTTGTACAAAGGTGAATGAAATTTGCAGAAAGCCCCTATACATGCAGAGCATTTCGGGCAAGCATAAGACTAACTTAAGATTAATATGGCAATAACAATATGAGAAATTTTAGAAATACAGTCACTTGGGTGAGTGTAAGTACAACATAACTGAATATCCTATTAGTTCATGCTATATATGATATAAGCTGGGAAGATAGCCTAAGCAACACAGATCCCAACTTATGCCTAGAACAGATTAACTCTGTGGCACTTGATGTATGCTCAAGGCGTATTCCTTTAAGAAAAAGGAGGAGCAGATGTAAAATAGAAAGAGGCAGACACTCCCTTTACAGGCGACGGAAAAGAATAACAGCGGCTAAAAGAGGCCAATATATCTGCAATGAGTAGGGAGACACTGGTCAGAGAAATAGCAAACATCGAACTAAAGCTAAAGGAATCTTATAAGAGTCAGGAATCGTGGGAAGAACTAAAAGCCATAAATGAAATTGAAAGAAACCCAAAGTATTTCTTTTCTTATGCCAAATCAAAGTCGAGAACAACATCCAGTATTGGGCCCCTACTTAAACAAGATAGGTCCTACACAGATGACAGCAAGGAAATGAGTGAGATACTCAAGTCCCAATATGGCTCAGTTTTTAGGAAGCCGCTAACCAGACCGAGAGTCGAAGATCTAATTGAATTTTTTATGAGAGAGCCACAGAACCTGGTAAACACAAGCTTATCTGACGTTATCCTGATGCCAAATGACTTCAAACAGGCGATAAATGACATGCCCATGCACTCTGCCCCAGGGCCTGACTCGTGGAACTCTGTGCTCATCAAGAACTGCAAGAAGCCCCTGTTACGTGCTTTTAATATCCAATGGAGAGGGAACATGGACACTGGGGTCGTCCCACAGTCACTAAAAACAACAGACATATCCCAATCCACAAAGGGGGCAGTAAAGCAAAGAACTACAGACCGATAGCGCTAACACCCCATATCATAAAAATCTTTGAAAGGGTCCTAAGAAGCAAGATTGCCACCCATCTGGATACCCATTAATTACACAACCCAGGGCAGCATGGGTTTAGAGAAGGTCACTCCTGTCTGTCCCAACTACTGGATCACTACAACAAGGTCCTAAATGCACCAGAAGATGAAAAAATGTAGATGTAATATACATAGACTTCGCAAAAGCCTTTGACAAGTGTGACCATGGCATAATAGCACACAAAATGCGTGCTAAAGAATAACAGGAAAAGTTGGAAGATGGATCTATAATTTCCTGACAAATAGAACACAGAGTAGTAGTCAACAGAGTAAAGTCTGAGGAGGCTACAGTGAAAAGTTCTATTCTGCAAGGCACAGTACTTGCTCCCATCTTGTTCCTCATCCTCATATCTGACATAGACAGGGATGTAAGCCGCAGCACTATGTCTTCCTTTGCAGATGACACCCGAATCTGCATGACAGTGTCTTCCATTGCAGACACTGCAAGGCTCCAGGCGGATATCAACCAAATCTTTCAATGGGCTGCAGAAAACAATATGAAGTTCAACGATGAGAAATTTCAATTACTCCGATATGGTAAATGTGCGGAAATTAAAACTTCATCAGAGTATAAAACAAATTCCAGCCACACAATAGAGCAAAAAACTAACGGTAAAGATCTCGGAGTGATCATGTTGGAGGATCTCGCCTTCAAGGACCATAATATTGTATCAATTGCATCTGCTAGAAAGATGACAGGATGGATAATGAGAACCTTCAAAACTTGGGATGCCAAGCCCATGATGACACTCTTCATGTCGCTTGTTCTATCTAGGCTGGAATATTGCTGCACACTAACAGCACCTTTCAAGGCAGGTGAAATTGCTGACCTAGAAAATGTACAGAGAACCTTCATGGCACGCATAACTGAGATAAAACACCTCAATTACTGGGAGCGCTTGAAGTTCCTGAATCTGTACTCCCTGGAATGCACGTGGGAGAGATACATGATTATATACACCTGGAAAATCCTAGAGGGACTAGTACCAAACTTGTACACCAAAATCACTCCCAACGAAAGCAAGACTCTACAGACGATACAACATCCCCCCAATGAAAAGCAGGGGTGTCACTAGCATGTTAAGAGACAACACAGTAAGTGTCAGGGGCCCAAGACTGTTCAACTGCCTCCCAGCATACATAAGGAGGATTACCAATAGACCCCTGGCTGTCTTCAAGCAGGCACTGGACAAGCACCTAAAGCCGGTACCAGACCAGCCAGGCTGTGGTTCGTACATTGGATTGCCTAATGGTTGATCAGGCCCTGATCCACCGTGAGGCCTGGTCACAGACCGGGCCGCAGGGGAATTGACCCCCGGAACTCTCTCCAGGTAAACTCCAGGTATATGGCTTTAACAAGTCTGAGAGGAATTGCAGGTGGCCCGGTGGCCTGGTGGCTAAAGCTCCCGCTTCACACACGGAGGGCCCGGGTTCGATTCCTGGCGGGTGGAAACATTTCGACATGTTTCCTTACACCTGTTGTCCTGTTCACCTAGCAGCAAATAGGTACCTGGGTGTTAGTCGACTGGTGTGGGTCGCATCCTGGGGGACAAGATTAAGGACCCCAATGGAAATAAGTTAGACAGTCCTCGATGACACACTGACTTTCTTGGGTTATCCTGGGTGGCTAACCCTCCGGGGTTAAAAATCCGAACGAAATCTTATCTTATCTTATCTTATTAACATAATGGGGTCATAATCAATTTTTTAATGTCTGGGAGGATTACATATATTGTTATACATGCATTTGTGACATTACAAATATAAATGTGTAGTTTTCACATATTTAGCTGATGCTGGGATATGTTAGGGAGATAAAGTGTTTTTAACAGTACAGTGGACCCTCGGTTATCAGCCGTAATCTGTTGCAGAAGGTCAGACGAAAATCGAAATGGCCAAACCAAAATGGCCGAGAACCGAAATAATATTTCCCATAAGAATTAATGTAAATACAATTAATCCATTCCAGACAAAATATTCACAAAAAAAATAATTTTTTTAACAATTATAAAAATATTACATACCTTTATTGAAGGCTAATGCTGGCTTCTAGAAGATAGGGAGGAGGAAAGAGGGAGGAGTTAGTGTTTGGAAGGGGAATCCCCCTCCATAAAGCCTTTAGGTAGCAAAGCCTTCTCTGGGGTTACTTCCCTTCTTTGTCTTTTAATACCACTAGAACCAGCTTGAGAGTCACTGGACCCCTGTCTCACAAAATAACTGTCCAGAGTGTTCTGTTTCTGGTGGCTCTTTAAGATTTCCCTAAAACGGGACAGGGTTTTGTCACTAAACATGTTGCAGATATGGCTTGTTTCAGCTTTGTCAGAGTGGTACTTCTCGACAAAACTTTGCATATCATTCCACTTTGCACAAATGTTCTTAATCAATGAAGAAGGCACCTCCTTCACTCCCTCTTCCACCTCCTCTGAAGCAAGTTCCTCGGCTGCAGTCTGTTGCTCTTCAAGTTGAAGCTCTTGCAGCTCTTCAGTGGTTAGCTCTTCCCTGTGGTCCTCCACCAACTCTTCTACACCCTCGCCATTCACCTTCAACCCCAGGGACTTCCCCAGTGCCACAATAGAGTCCACAGGGTCGGCAGGGTCAGGGTCAGCCTCAAACTCTTCAAAATCCCTCTCTTAGACAATCTGGTCACAGTTTTCTCCAAGCAGTGTTCAACGTCCTGGAAGTTACTCCCTCCCAAGCCTTACCTATAAGGCTTATGCAATGGAGGATAGTGAAGTGATTCCTCCAGAACTCTCCTAGGGTTAACTGAGTGTCCGAGGTCACTTCAAAGCACTTTTGAAACACTGCTTTTGTGTAGAGTTTTTTGAGGTTAGAAATGACCTGCTGGTTAATGGGCTGGAGGAGAGGAGTGGTGTTAGGAGGCAAGAACTTCACTTTCATAAAATTGAAGTCCCTAAACACTTGGTCTTCCAAGTCTGGAGAATGTGCAGGAGCACTGTCCAGTACCAGGAGGCACTTGAGTGGCAATTTCTTTTCCAAGAGGTAATTTTTCACACTTGGGCCTAACACATCATTAACCCACTATTTGAAAATTTGCCTTGTGATCCATGCATTATGATGAGCTTTCCACATCATGCACAATCTATTCTTCATGACAATGTTT